TTTGCCCCAGAACCCCCTCCTTCCATTGCTGGCTGTCAGCAAAGTCAAAGGCATGGATTAATAAGCATGTGTGCCCTGCACTGCGCTGGCTTCTGTGCGGGGCGAATGCACGATTCCCTGACCTCTGGGACTGAACAAGCTCAGGCAAAGACTTGCTGGGCTACATGTAGGCAGCCCCAGGGAGGAATGGAGGAGACAAAGGAGGGGCCTGGAGCCCAACACAGAGCGCTGGAGACTGAGAGTGCAGACAGGGCCTGATAAGATCAAGCTGGGCTCCAGTCTTGTGGGCTCCATGGGGGTGAAGGTGAGCTTGCAAATTCATAGAGTTCCATTTACATTTCTCCTTTCGTGCTGATTATTTGTCAGTTTAGGTGAAGCTTTCTCTGCTCTACCAAATGTATTTCAAGCTTGAATTCAGGTTGAGCCTGACTCCCAGGGAGAAATATATCAAACCCTAAAGCCGCTTCATCTATTCATAGCCATTGATGGTGGCCCAATAAAGCTGAACCTTTGAAAGCAATTGGCTATCAAAATGGTTGCTGAAACAAAAGCACACTTCCCTGCCATTGCAAAGTGTGCTTCTCAGCTGGAGACTTAGTACCCTATCTCCAGGGTTACATGTGCAGGTCCAGGGTGAATTCATTAAGAGAGAGTTTGAAGAGACCCAATACAAATGTAATTCTCCTGAAGGTGACCTGGAAACCTTCCTGTAGGAGGTGTCCTTTGTCAGGAGCTAATTGTGATTCCCAAACTCTGCCTTGTTTGGGAATATAATTGTGGAACCAGGGACTCTAAAAGTGTACGCATTCTTCTGAGAAGAGAAAAGTAACTGTCTGGTGTCTTACAAGAGCTGGGAGAGCCTGAGAATTCCATTTTCCTGCCCCTCTATCATTTTTGTCATCTACACATTTTCTAGATCAATACCTAGAATCTCCAAGGTATGGTATTTATTTTCTCTTCTCCATTTTCGGGGCGGTGAGCCATCACGGCTCTTTCTTTTGTGAGCTGCTCATCCTCACTTCCCAGGCTCTGCAGGGCCCACCGTTTCCCTAAGTAAAGCCTTTTGCCAAATGTTACCCTGGAGCTCAGACCAGAAGCAAGGAAAACGGAACCCACAACCTAGTCCCTTAAGAAGGACGGCTGCTGTGAGCCCAGATGACGCTGGCTTCCCACCTCCACCCCTCAAGCCCTGGCTCCTTCTCTCCCCAGGGATGGGCCCCCAGCCTCCCTCCTGTCACCCGCCCGGGGGACTAAAACAAACAGTCCTTTGGAAATTCAGTGAAAGGAAACGGCTGAGTCAGGCCTTCTGTTTAAATAGTCCCCACCTGTTCCCTCAGCCCTTGCCTCCCCCACTCCCACCCTGTGCTCCCCCTACTTCCCTTTCTCTTTTCTTTTCTTTTCCCCTTTGTTGCTCATTTTCAAAAGGGCAGAGTTGACAGCTCTCGCCTTGAGCAAAGCCAACCCGGGAGCCAGCCAGGAGCAGCCCGGCACTGCTGACCCAGCTCCCCGGTGGCTGCCCCACCCACAGCCTGCACGTGGCTCTGTCTGGTTCATGGGGGAGGATGGGAGGACCCAGAGAACCCCAGTACCCAGCTCCTCCCCTCTTCTCTTGAACTCTTTTACCAGGCCTCAGCACCCAGGCACCCTCTGCCCAGCAGATCTGAGACGCCTGTGGAAGGAGAGAGGGTGAGGGGACAGATGAGGTGACACCTTACCAAGGGATGTGCCTTCTTGTTCACTGGAGGCTTCAGTGGACCTATACTCTTGGTGCTGTGTATGAAAATAACTGAATTTGGCAATCAGAATTTAAAAGGTTTTTTTAATAATGGGGAAAAAAAGAAAATAACTTGTTGGCACTGAAGGAAATGAATTAGTTACCCATATTCAAAACGGAGGAAAAATAATTTTTCCCAAGTGACACAAATTGAGTTAGAGACATTCCCTCAACCCACCAACTGCCTTCCACAGCACACAGGAAGGCTTTTAGAATTACCCTGTTCTGCCTTGTAAGTGGGTAATTTTCACTTACCCACTTTGGAAGGGAACAGCACTCTGAGCCTGTTGCTGGCTCTATAGGTCAAAGCCTTTACTTTTTTTTTTTTTTAGCCTCACTCAAGAACATTTTTTCATTGCTTTTAGAGAGGAAGGAAGAGAGAGAGAAAAAAAACATCAATTGATTGCCTTCTCAAACACACCCCAACTTTCAATTGGGGATCAAACCTGCAACCTGGGCATGTGCCCCAACCAGGAACTGGACCCATGACCTTTCAGTCTATGGGACAATGCTCCAGCCAGCTGAGCCACTGTACGTGTCAAGACTGTTTTTGTTTTTTTAAATTAAACTTTCTATTTTGAGATAAATGTAGGTTCATATGTAGTTGTAAGAAATGATAGAGAGGCCCCTTGTATTCACTCAGTTCCCCCAAGGTAACATCTTGCAAAACTGCAGTATGTAATCACAACCAGGGTATTGATATATATGTACAGTCGGGAGACAGAACATTCCCACTCCAACCAGCACCCCTCATCTTGCCCTTCTATAGCCAAACCCACTTCTCTCCCACCCAACCCCCTCCTTAACCCCTGGCAATCACCACTCTGCTCTCTGTTTCTATTAATATAATTTATTTTTCAAAAATATTATATAAATGGAATTATGGTATCTGAGATTGCCAATTTTCATTCTTCATAATTCTGTAGAAATTGATCCAAGTAATATATCAATAGCTCGCGCTCTCTTGTTGCTAAGTAATATTTCATGGTAGGGACATATCACAGTTTGTTAAAACATTCACTTGTTGAAGAACACCCAAGTTGTTTCCAATTTGGGGCTATTACAAATAAAGTTGTTATAAGCATCCATTTTTGTGTGAAGACAAGCCTTCGTTTATCTGGAGTAGATACCCGGTATTCAATTGCTGAGTCATATGATAATTGCATGTTTAGTAGTGCACCTTCTAAAATTCTCCTCTAAAACTACTCCTTACACACTTCTAGGAGGGTTCTGGGCTGAGGGGTAAGCAGCAGAAGAAGCCAGAAGTAGAAGAAAGAGGCTTTGAAACCTCAATTCCTAGAGCTGAGTTGCTGCCAACACACACACCCTGTAACCACACCAGGTAGTGAAGGGGTGCCAGGAGTAAACCCAAGTATGGCGGGCAAAATAACGGTCCCTCCAAAATGATGCCCATGCTCGAATCCCCAGAAGCTGTGAACACATTAAGTTACATGGTAAAACAGAATGAAAGTTGCAGGTAAAACAGAATGTAAGTTTGCCCATCAGTTGACTTTCAGATGGAAGAGAATTCTGGATGATCAAGCTGGGCCCCACTGTAACCATGGGGTTCTTAAAAGTAGGAAAGGGAAGCAGAAGAGCAGACCCAGAGAATGACATGACTGTGGAAGAAAGGCCCCAAAAGATTCAATGTTGCTAGAGTTGAAGATGGGGGAAGGCAACTCTGAGTCAAGGAACAGGTGGCTTCTAGAAGCTGGAAGATAGAGGAAACAAGTTCCCCCTCCATCCTGCAAAAAGAAACACAGTATTGGTCTTTGTAGGCCAGAGGTTCCTGCGTTAAACCTGTGACCACAGAAATGTAAAATAATAAATTCATGTTGCATTAAACCACCAAGTTGGTGGTAGCTTGTTATTGCAGAAAATAGAAAACTAATACACAAAGTGACCTCTATGTGGGATTCAGCCTTCAGAGTTTATCGGTCCTGCTCCTGAAGAGAGTTCACCGGTGTGTCTTTTGAAAGGAAGAATAGAGAACATGGGACTTTCTTCCATGCTTGGTTCAAGGCCCCTAAGCTTCCTTTGTGTATCTACACATTTTCTAATCAGCCACAGGCTCAGGCCTCTCCTTCCCCAAACCAGCTGCGTGGTTTCCTGTTGCTCCTTTCCAGTGGACCCCCGCAGCCCCTCTGGGCCTTGCCCCACCCCTCCCAGGCTGCACCTGAAGCACCAAGGACTCTGGAAGCCTTCATTCAGCAAACCCAGACCTCAGCTCAGCCTCAAACATGAAAAAGAACTTTACAAAGCTTTACAGTTTGGAACTTGTGTATCCACTGGGATTTAGCACTTAATTAGTAGAAACCCTTGTTTACCTGTTTCTCTTACAGCCAGAGATTGCTCTGCAAAATCAAGCAATTGGTGAATCATTAGCATATTAAGAAACTGGGCTGTGTTCCCTCTGATAATGACCTCAGAAAGTGATGAGGCCAGGATGTGGAAGAAGGCAATCCAGAGAGTGGTATCAAAATAACCCTTTCGTGAGGAAGCAAAAGTGAAGTGACAATTCCTTAAATAAGTAATTCTCACATGAGGCATGAACTAAAATCACCCAGGGAATTTTTTCAACCTATCCATGCATTCCACCCTCACCCGCCCACAAGCACACACAACAGACACATTCCACTCCCTTAGGATTGTCATATCTCTGTGAGGACCACAACCTGGAGAGCTTAATCGGTGAGAGCAGCAATGTACAACCTAACCAAGTTGCAAACACATACCTATGAAATCCCCCCCATGCACACACACACACTTTTCATTTGATCCAGTGTTTTAGCATCTAGTTAGGTTTTGGCATGCAGCCAAGACTAAGGTCCCAACTGGAAGACTCCTCTAATTAGTGGTCTGCCCCCAAGTCCTCTCTCACCTGGACGCGACATTCCTCAGCCTCCTGTTTTCTCATTTTATACAGGAGGTTGGGCAGTAGAACCAGGGAAGGAGAATGGATGATTGTCACAGCCCCAGAGTTCTCCAGAGATACAAACAAAGAAATATCCTATTGACAATGAGACCTCTAAAACACCAAGAATATCTCACTCATTGGTTTTACAAATACTTGTTCTGCAAAAACATAAGAGCTGTCACGCCAGGTCAGACCAAAGGTGCCTGTAGCCCAGCGCTGTGAGCTCTCTGACCTCATCTAACCTAATGACCTCCTATGGTCCCCACCTCCAAACAGCCCCACATTGGAGGTTAGGACTTCAACACTTACCTTTGGGGCGAACGCAAACATTTGGTTTATAGCAGGGACGGGGTGAGTTTCAGAAAAGGTGCACATGCTCATTGGAAGACATGGGCCCCCTGGAGAGGATGGAAGAGAAAGAGTGTCAGCGTGATCAAGAGGTCCACTCAGTGCTGGTCTTTGCTGTGGTCTCAGGACCACAGCATTGAAACGAACACAGGGATACATGAGGAAACCAGATCCTTTTACAGATTCTGAAAGACGTTATTAGACTGCTACTGTTGACTGCATTGTAATAATTGCTGGCTCATCGAGGACTATCTTGAGTTCTTTAATCATCTCAAGTGTGTTTCCCATATTATGCCAGAAATGCAGAAAGGTTGGAAGCCACCAGGTTAGGGACATACTCCCAACTCAGCTAACTTGACTAAAGCTTCATGTCACCCACCTGTACCACATTTGGAAGGTACTACTCTCTACAGAAGGTATTAATGGTTCTGTAAAGTTTGTGTCTTTTTAAACTCTTTTCTAAAATTACCCATCGCATGCTTTTAGGAATCTTCTCTCCTTCTCATGGAGAAGGAATCAAATATCATATCCATGTTTAGCCTACTCCGACCCTGGATACTAAATCGATACCTTGCAACTCCTCAGTCTCCATATTTCAACATGAGGAACCCTCTGTAAATGCAGACAACAGTCTTCCATGAGCTGCGCCAGGAGGTGAGCCTCTCTATTATTTTTATTTGAGACCTAGCAGGTAGAATGTGCTGGTACCACCGTTTGTATGAAGAGGGCAGAGCATTGACTTCTGGTTTCAATATCCTTTTTTTAAAATTTTTTGTATAGAATGCTACTTGTTGACATGTAACAACTTGTTGACATTATATTAGTTTCAGAATTACATGATTCACTATTTGCCCCATTTGTCTTTTTATTTATTTATTTTTATTCTTATTGTTGACACTATTACAGATGTCCTTAATTTCCCCTCCCCCTTTGTCCACTTCCACCCTTCCCCCCTTCCCTCTGGCCATCACCACACTGTTGGCTGTGCCTAGGGGTTATGCATAGATGTTCCTTGGCTAATCCCTTCACCTTCTTTCATCCAGTCCCCCCTTTCAACCCTTTCCTCTGACAGCTGTCAGTCTGCTCCATGCGTCCATGCCTCTGTTTCTATCCTGTTTGTCCATTTATTTTGTTCATTAGATTCCACATATAAGTGAGATCATATGGTACTTGTCTTTTTCTGACTGGCTTATTTCACTTTGATGAAACTCAGCGTTGCGTTGGCTTTCTTTCTGCCAAAGCTAATCACCCTGTCTACAGAAACAGTCTGCTAAGACTCTGAGCTTCTGTGTTTAGGGCTGCACGATTCCAGTAAGAACTGAGGAAGTCTTGCCTGACCTTAAAAAGTCATGGCAAACAATTTCCACCTCTCAAATATGTGTAGTGAATTTAACATATTTTTATCACAAAAGCAGAATCAGTTCAGTGTACTACCTTAGAAAATAGAGAAAAAGCACAAGGAAAACAAAACATACTATGTGTACATATCTGTATGTAAATATTTTAACATGAGCAGAATCATGTATCTAATCTGTACCTAACCTGCTTTTGTTGATATATTAATAAGACATGAGCATTTTCACCTGCCATTTATGTAGATATTTGCCAACATCATTTTTCATAGTACATGGTATTCTATCATATGAGTATATACTAATTTATTAAATTTATTCCTTATTGTTAGTTATTTAGTCTGTTTCTAATATTATACTACTTCAAACTATCCTCTTAAAATTATTGCATATTAAATCCTAAGCTACAATTCACTATGAAGCAAAAGGTTATCAAAAGTAAAATCAGATTTAAGCATGCCAATTTCATGATTATTGACAAGTAGCTAATTGAAATTCATTTCAACTGAGAATTGTGATGGAGCAAGAATACAAACCAAGGGAAGTTGAAAAAAGTCAAATTAAACCCGAAGATGGTGTTGCTTCACTGGGTTTGGAGAGGTACATCAGCCAACTAACAAATAATTTATTGAATCTAAAATGCATTTATTGTCAGGTGCACCACTTCGTTCAGGTTCCTCTAAGGAAGAAAAAGAAGCTGCCAATAGTCAGATGATACCACCACTATGATCAGCATTCATGTGGTTCAGAAGAGCAAAGGCCCAGTGAAGAAAGTCTTGCTAAAGAGACACTAAGAAGGAATAGGATCTGGGTTGGAAGGAATCAGTGAGTGGCTGAGTGTAAGGCAGTTTCACCCTAAAACCAGGGGCTATATTTAGAACATTGAGGATAGATATCCCATGACTATGATGGAAATCAAGCTGACCTCTCTGGGGAAAAGCTGGCCAGACTGGCATTGCCAAATCATGATCATTTCATAAGACTGCATGTTATCTTGAAATAATAAAATAAGGCTTCGGCCTTAGCATGTGATGCTGTAGTCATTCTCATCTACTCACAGCTCCCTGAGTTCCCCAGGCTGTCTCACCCTCCTGTGCCTTCTCAAAAGCAGTTCCTTCTGCCTGAAACACCCATAGTCATCCAGAAAACACAACTCAAGCCTTGTTTTGGGGGGAACTTTTATTGACCACCCATAGGAAAAAACCAGCCCCTTCTCAGACCCACTCCTGGCCTTGTACACCAGGGTCTGCATCAGCTACAGCCCTCTCAGACCTAAATAAGCTGTGCCCAGATGGAAGTCCGGACAAGGGCATTTCACATGGGGCTACAACTCTAAGAGCCAGAATCTTGCCTGATTGTCAAGGTGGGTTCAGTCTGAAAACAATAATCTGGAATACTTGAACTCTTAGCTTTTTGAAGACACTAAAAGGATGATGAGATAGGCAGTGCCCAAACTCTGCAATAAATTCTGCATACATTTTACTGTAAAGGTAACTTTCTCTTAACCAATGCAACCACGAGGCTGCAGAGGGTGTTCTTGTATCGTCTGCCAGTCTCCCCACCTGTAAACTTTAGAGGACATGCTGTTCAGCCTTGGCCTGTCCTCCAAGAGGTGCTCACAGCGCCTCCTGCCCATGCCCTTACCTGTGCATCCTACAGCTTTCTCTACATCTTCAGTTCTCACTTACTGAAGCTCAAATTGCTCAGTTTGTTTAAAAAAAAAAAAAAAGCAAACCCTGAGTAACAAACTGCACCCTTAGCCTGGGCCTGCTTCTGCACCGCAGGGGCTTTCTCTCTAATCTGGGAATTAAGATCTCAGACTCCCAGTGTCCTCTGCGCCAGACTGGGAGGGTCATTTCAAATTGCTTTTCACAGGAAAGGGAAGTTTCTTCATGGAGACTTGGAAAGAAATGGATCGGTTCTTCTGTCCTCAGAACCCATAGCAATTTAGGCTCTCAAGTATTTAACCACTTTATGCCCATTTGGTTGTAGTCCTAATCCCTGTGTGTTAATAAAAAATTTATGTCTCTGTCAAGGAGCTCCAGAAGGCCTTCCAGGGGTGTCCAACCTGAGGCCCGTGGGCCACATGCAGCTCAGGATGGCTATGAATGCAGCCCAACACAAAATCGTAAATTTACTTAAAACATTATGAGATGTTTTTTGTGATTACGTGTCACAGTATATTAATGTGTGGCCCAAGACAACTCTTTTCCTTCCAGCGTGGCCCAAAGATGCCAAAAGGTTTGGACACCCCTGCTAAACCTTGTTTTGTTCTTTTAAAACATTTTTTTAATTTAATTGTTGTTCAAGTACAGTTTTCTGTCTTTTACTCCCATCCCAGCCCACCCCCCTCAGTGCTCCCCATCTCCCTCCCATTTCCACCCCCCTTAGTTGTTGTCCATGTGTCCTTTATACTAGTTCCTGTAAACCCTTCCCCTTTTCCCCTTAAATTCCCTCCCCTCTCCCCTCTGGTCACTGTCTGCCTATTCTCTATTTCAGTGTCTTTGGTTATATTTTGCTTGCTTGTTTTGTTGTTTAGCTTCCTGTTAAAGGTGAGATCATATGGTATTTGCTTTCACCGCCTGGTTTATTTCACTCAGCATAATGCTTTCCAGTTCCATCCATGCTGTTGCAAGGGGTAGGAGCTCCTTCTTTCTTTCTGCTGCATTGAATTCCATTGTATATATGTACCATAGTTTTCGGATCCATTCATTTACTGATGGGCATCTAGGTTGCTTCCAACTCGCTGCTATGAACATTGGGGTGCATAGGTTATTTTGGATTGGTTAAAACATGTTTCGATTGTCTTTGAATGCATAATGCCTGCAACTCTTAATAGGTATTACTTTGAATGAATGGATGGAATGCACACACGCATGCACGAATGAATGAACAAAGGAACACTGAGGTCAATTCAAACTGGATATAATTTATCATTTCCTTGGAGAGCTCTGGGATACTGAAGGTTAAGTTAATCACACTCCCACACTTCCCCTTTCATGATGTACTTCATACAATCCCTGCAAGACGCTTCTCAGTCCACTGTTTCTTTCTTTCTCCATCCCCATCCCCGTCACCTCCCCAGCCCCTCACCAAGCACATAAGGTTTAACCTAACAAACCAACTATGCACATAAAGTTTGTTTCTGAGATGGCTTCAAACCCCAGTAAAGTTGCTTGGCACAGTTAAGTAGCTGAAGAGAGATTGTGCAGACAGTGTGGGAATGCAGGAAATAAACAGAGAAAAGGCAAAGGCCTCCAGGTTGAGGTCTTGGGAGGACAGCCCATTCTCAGCTGCTCAGGACTTCATTTGCTCTGTCAACAACCCCCAAAGTTATGTGGTACACACATTAGGGAGTCTTCTCTGTTGAGGAGTTCAGGATGCTTCTCACTGTCTCCCCCCTAGTATTCTTTCTTTTCATCAGAAAATATTTCATAGACACAGCAATCTAGGATTTTACCCTCTGAGGGTATACAGCATGTGTCTATGATGGATCCAAGGCAATCACCAGGCTTATCAGTCAGGATAGACACAGGTTGTGCTCTGTAACAAATAACCCCCCAAATCTCAGAGGCTTAAAACAACACAAGTGTGTTTTATTTATACCACATGTGCATTGCAGATCTGCTGCAATGCCCCATGTCTCCTCCCTCCATGATCTGGTCTGAGATAACCCAGGCTACTATCATCTCAAAGAC